ATGTATGAAATGAGATCAATCGGTAGTCATGAAACCTATTGGTCGCCCACCTAGAAGGGGTTTAATCTCTAAGTTGAGTACTTAGTAGCCGGTCATCACATGTACTTGTTATGAGCTAATATGAAATGATTTATGAGTTGATATGGAATGATTTGTGAACTGATATGAAATGAGACTTATGAACTGATTTATGAATTTATATGGAATGACTTATGAATGGATATGAAGAGACTTGTGAATTGAAACGAAATGATTTATGACTTTATGATTTTTCACGTTCATTTATCAATAAGATGTTTTTAAATTGCTTGCCATTTGTTACTGCCGATCATTTTATAAACGATGTTACTTTCAAAATTATGGATGTGATCGACACACGCAAAGGATTTGATTTCTATCTATATATATGTATATGTAAAAATTACGAGTACATGGTCCAACAGAGGAGTAGATATTATCTATTGAGCGATTTGTCGCTCAACCCACTTTTTACCATCTTTACAGATTCTGAGGAGTATGAGTTGGTTTACGTAGAAGACCTGAAGACGACTTTTATTAGCTTTAAATGAATAGAAGTTGGCAGGCTAGCTACTTCTAGTTGTTAGTCTTATTTATTTTCGATTCCGTTGTTTCCATTAGAAAATAAATATACGAACGTATTGGATACTCATAGACTACCTGGTATATGAGATTTGTACCGCACTTTACTTTAGTTATATTATTTCATACTTTTAAAGTTTAGATTAGTTAAATGATACCTTGTATTCTTGAGTGGAATTTGAGAATACGGCAAATGTCAAGTGACGGGCGCGTGCGGACTCGGGGCGTGACAATTGTGATCTGAATCTTATCAAAGCCTACGCGATAATTTGCAGAATGATTCAATCCTAACTCAATTGAGGCCCTCAAGTGGGCCATTACAACATAAAGAAATCACAAAAATTATGACGAAAGGTGTAGGGAAGAGACCATCGCATCACATAGTGGAAAGAAATCAAGGTCTAGACGTGGCATTTGGTAATTGTGGGACCTCATTATCGTAATGTCCATTCACGAAATCAGGATCCAATGTGCTAGAATTTCCGTTCCTTTTGTGGTGAAATTATTATTTTTCCTCAATTCGGATTATTCAAATTAATGAAGATATTAAGAAGTTTTTATATATCTCACCGTGAAGCAACAAAAATTCTCACTATTTCAACTTGCTTCATTTCTTGTCAAATACAAACTTAGTACCATGGATTGTTCAGGATGATTGGAGGTTGTTTGATTTTTGTTCTTCCAATACCCTTTTAAATAGACAAAAAAAATTAGATACACGATTATTTAAAAAAATATATTTTTCCTTTATTTTGTGTGAAAATGAAAATTTTTTAGAATAATAATGTAGTACTTTGTGATTTGATGTATATGATATAAAAAGTGGTTGAAAAATTAAAAAAAAATCTAATTCAAGAAAGCGTTTATGATGCAATAAAAAAAAATCTTGAAATGACTTGCATCCAAACGATTTATCAAATCCCCATTCTCATAGTCTATCAATTGTACCCAGAGAGAGATATCTAACTATATAAAAGCGGGAGTTGGAGAAGGAACAGTGCAATTTTGGTCAAGCGGTTATCACGTAATTTTGGGCAACTTTGAGGGCAATTGTCAAGCGGCATTTTGGTCTTTTGTCATGTGGCTGGCTCTGGCTTTAGGAAGAATCGTTTAAGCTGGCTATTTCATTGATTCTCTTTTGCTGGAAAAAGACAACAATTATTAAGATGGCTCTTGGCATTATATTTCAATAAAAAGGTCTGGCTGTGGCTGAGGCTTGTTAGCTGTATTATTGTGCTATGTGGGCTACAGGGGCTAGGACTCACAAAAGAGAGCTGTACCTATACGCTATCTATTGTAAGTAATGCTGCAGGCCTTGTTTTAGAGCTCTGCCATATGCCCTTTTATCTTCTCCAATACAACCCACCCCGGGCCGCCTCACCAAGAAAATCAGAAAAAAAAAGAAAAAAAAAAGAAGAAAATCTCTGTCAGGCTCTCCAATATATATATATCTAATCTAAATATATAAAAGGGAGAATTGGATAATGAATAGCTCCATTTTGGTCAAGCGATTATGCTGTAATTCTTGAGCTAGAGGGAAAAAATAACAAGTCCAACATTATCATCATATAAGTAAGCAAAATCGGTTAAGATGCCATAGGTTTCAACTAAAAATGGTTTCTGTAAGTCCCAAAGACAACCAAGAGGGGGGGGGTGAATTGGGTTGATTAAAATCTTAACCAAATTTATGCACTTTTTCTTTAATAAAAATTTACCTTCTTTTCTAGTAAAGATCAACCAAGTAGATTAGAAGACAATAGCAATATTGATCAGAAAGACAAGTATATATAAGCAATGAGAATTTTATTAAACAAAAAGTAAAATAGGAAATCAAACCGATTGTCTACCAAGCTTTCCTCAAACTTGAAGACCAATCACAAGGTTGAGCAACTTCTCTTTGATGAAATATGATCAACTAGATGTACAATGGAGGGAGCACTTCCTCCTTGCCCTAAGCCTCACTTAGTCAAGCTAAGAAGTTTTACAAACACTCAGATAACCCTCAACAAAGCTACACTAATGAAACTTTCAACCACAAGAGAAAAGCTCACCAGAAGTTCACACCACTTAGAGAACAAATCTAACTTTGGAGACTATTTTTTAGCTAAAATATCTCGTGAGATCTTGTAGACCAAGTGTGCAAAAGTCCTTACTTCGTTCAGAACAGTTTGTTTTTAAAGGGGAACAGAAATGGGATTCATTAAAGCTTCCAACGGATAGAAGGCAGATGAAGAGTCAGCTAGCCGTTGGGGCTTTCGGACGTCCGACGATCAAATTATCGTCCGAACCAATCGTCCGAAAAAAACAGCCAAATTAAAGTTCGGACGTCCGATGGAATTTTATCGTCCGAACTTCAGTGTCCGAACGTCTCCAGAGAGTTATCAAATCTTCGAGGAATTTTTAGGACGTCCGATGATATTGATGTTCGTCCGAAGCATGCGTCCGATCCTTCAGGACGTCCGATGCTTCCTTGCGAGCGTCCGACAGTGTCTTGGCAGAGAGTCATCAGAGCTTTGTGAAATTTTTAGGACGTCCGACACGATCGATGTGCGTCCGACAGAAACTCCTTCCTGATGTTCTTCATCCCTTCGGACGTCCGACAGATTCCCTTCGGCCGTCCGACATGAGTGTCCTGTTTTTGCTCACGACATATTCGTACCTGATTCTTTGATAGGCAACAACACTTATATTTGAAGAAAGTTAGATAAAACATTTCAAGGAACCAAGACTAACAAAATTGTCAGTGTTCACTTTCTTGATCTGTATAAACATTTCAACGAACTTTTGTGATCATCAAAACCAAGAATAACAGTTTCTAATTCTATAGCTTTTTCAAACGTACAATTAGAAGGATATATATTAGTCTATATATACATATTTAGTCTATATAATTATTGGAAAAATTTTAATACCCTTATTTTTATTATTATACTTTTCATTCTATATATATATATTCTATAAACATGAGCTTACTTTTGTCTTCTATGTGTGCTACATTATGAGTCTATTTCCTTTTTAAAAGAATAATTAGTTTGTTATTTTACTAATATATCCATGTTTAGTGTATATATAATTATTATAAAATATTTTAACATATTTGTTTTCTCTAATAGCTCTAAATTGCTGTAAATTGAAAAGCGATATTGTGTGCTGATCTTTTTATATTATTTATTTAAACATGTAACATTAATTAGACTATTTCTTACATTTGAAAATTAAAGTACTCTAAATTTGAAAAATAATGTAATAATACACGTCTTTTACTGTGGATTAATGATCTAATATTAATGGAAAAAGAAATAGGCCTATATTTATTGAACTTAGTGAGTAATAGAGATATACATATCTAACAATATAAAGGAAAAGTTGCCCTATGCACAGTGATTTTTTTTGTCAAGCGGTTATCTTGCAATTGTTATTGGATGTTAGGGCTATTTTCATCAATTATTTGTTTATTTTTTAACAGCTGCTATAGTTTTGGTGTATTTATTGGACATGTTGACTGAATTCATAATTGGTGGTATAAAAAGTGAAACCTATGAAAGTTGATTTTTTTGTGGTTAATTATTTGCTTTAGAAGTGTTCTGAAAATGCAAAATTACCAAGGAAATAATTGATAAATTGTTGTTGGCTTTAGTGACTTTAAAAATGGCTTTTATTACTGTGACATGAAATAAAATTGATACATGTTCTGTAAATGCACAATTATTGAGGAAACAATTAATAAATTATTGTTGGGTTAACATAGAATAAAATATTTCCCGTCTCACTAGTATATATATATGGAAAGTTATAATGATTTATCAACCCAACTGTCAATATGCGAGTTTTTTTATTTGGCCTTTGACTTAGAAAACGTCATTCATGAATCATCAATTGATGCTTTTGAACTCATTTATTCTGTGAGGTACGAACAGCCTAGGTTTTCTGTAGAAATTGACAAGTTCAATGCCGATATAGTTGACAATGGATTTAGATAGAAATATAGGTTTGATCCCAATGTTTTGTCTTTGTGTCAAATTGATCTCTAATATTTTGACTAAAACAAATGCAGCCTCTAAAATTTAATAATTTTAAACAAATTTAGGACGGTTGATGAAAATTCAACAGTTTCTAACAGTCAAATTATTTGGTAATCTTGGCTTTACATTTTTTGTCCTCAATGTTTAGAGTTAAATTATTATAATGTCTTAACTTTCAAATAGTGAAGGCAAGGGCTTTAAGGTAAAACAACATGCAAATTACATAGAAATTACGTTGGATGTGCACTGGGAATTTTATAAACAAAAAGTTAAAAGTTAATTGAACTTCTTATTCCTATTTTTTATTTCACTTATTCATGCCACTAATAAATATATATTTCTTCTCTTTTCTGTAGATGGAATCAGTGCCTCTTGTGTTATAATCCCAACAACGCGGAGAACAAAAAAAAAAAAGGAAAAATGAACTCCATTCCTCTGGCTCTCTTTCGACTCTCTTTCTCTCTACACTCTCTCAATTAGCACATAAGAAAATAAAAGTAAGGAAAAGTAAGAAAAAGTAGAAGAAGGTAGAGGAGTGGAGCTTCACTCTAGGAGTTTTTCCATCAAAATTTGTTCATCCAATTGGAAGGCCCCCACTGTTTCATTAAGGTCCTTTCTTATGTTCTCATTTATATTAAGTCATGTCTTATTGTTCAATTTCCTTTTCGTTTTGTTGAGAGAATGTAATGGTTGGGATTGGAATTTATGTTTCTGTTTTGAGGGCATAATCAACTGTTTTTTTTTTCTTTTTCAGTTTAATGCATCTTAGCTTCATGATCGTGTTTAGAGTAAGATTTTGTAGGCTTTATGTATATAAGCAAAAGAAATTTATTTCTTAAGAAGATCGAAATTTTTGCTTAAATATGAAATTTTTTGCTTTGGTTTGATAAATCAGAACTGTGGTTGCATTGTAGACTAAGGAAGGTTGTTTTGTTGCATTTTTTATATTTTGGTGATGTTTTGAATGACTTTTGACAATGGGATAGCCAGTTGTAAATTTGATTTTTGGCTACATTCTACGCATTTTTTTAAAAAATAAACTAATCCAGAAACGGATTCTACACAAAAAATAAATTTTGGGGTGTTATTTTGGTGAATTCCGATGACTAGCAGTGACGTAGCCGTTGGAGCTGCCATGGTTGCCAGCGAGGAATTGGAGGTCTAACCGGAAGAAGAGAGGAAGAAGGAAAAGAAAAATGAAAAAGAAAAAGGAAAGGAAAAGAAAGGAAAAAAGAGGAAAAGAAAATAAAGGGAATGGCCTGGAATTTTATCTTTTGTTGGGCTTGTATTGGGCTTTGGATGGTAAACATTAGGGATGTTTGCTACTTTAAGCTTGTATTTTTTACATGAGATGATTTGTCTTTTTTGGGCTAGATTAGTGTGGTCCGAGCACTAAATGACCAAAACTTTTTTCTTCATACTTTTCCTTAAATCAGAAATCAGATTTTATAAGTTGACCCTAAACGTTTTAGTAATACTGTTATGGCCCAAGAACTTTAGATTTCCTAAATTTAGGTCCTTATTTTAATTGCATTTAACTCCTAAACTTTGTCTTTATATACTTTTTGCCCCTAATTATGGCCCAAGAACTTTAGATTTCCTAAATTTAGGTCCTTATTTTAATTGCATTTAACTCCTAAACTTTGTCTTTATATACTTTTGGCCCCTAATCATTTAATAAAATTATATTTTGACCTTAAAAATTTTCTAATTTTTACAATTTAGTCCCTTGTAGCTTTTGATTTCTTAATTATAATTGTTTCCTTTCTTTAACTATTAATTATGTTTTCCTTAAATGCATTTAACTTGCAATTTTGGGCGTTTTAAGTTTATTTGGACCTTTGGCATGATAATGTAAATTTAGTATATTTTTATGTTTGACCAAGAAGGTTCTAGTTAAGGAGGTTCATGTGAATTATTGTTAGAGGCTAGACATCTGTATGGTTACATAAATCACTTTGCCTCACTCTATCAAATTTCCACCAATTTAAGAAGATTTTCATGGGTTGAGGTAATTTTTTAAACGACCTTTATGTCTCATGAATTTAATCAAAAGTTGATCTATTAAGGAAATAAAAAATTTTAAAATTTTCACTGTGCATGTCTTTATAATTCCTTACACAAATTAGGATTTATGGATAGAATCCGACACTAGATTATATTAGATGGGAGGTTTGTTTGATAATATGTGCAAGGAAAGAAAAAAGTCTCAACATGGTCTCTTTTTCTTCTCCTCTCTCATACCATCACCACCATCTTGGACAACTAATCTCCGCTCCAAACTTTTGTTATTTCATTTTACTCTTGCCTTCTTTTATTGGGGGAACAATTTTGCAATACAGAATGAAAGAAAATGAAATGACTAAAAACATCTACCTTGCATATAAGAAGAATGCGAGGTTTAGTGTTTTTCTTTCCGTTTTGCCATGTGACTTTTTGGTTATTTGACAAGTGGCATGACTCCAATATATTTCCCTTAGAAATTACTCTTGTTGCTCCATCCACTCTCTTCGGACCAAACCCAGACCAAATAGACTAATTTCTGTCCTTTAAAAAAGCTGAGGAGCTTTATCTTCTTCTCTAGGCTTAACCGATTTCATTAAACTCACTAATCAGATTAAGTTGATGTGTTGTTTAACCCATCATCCTTAGATTAGTCTTACTAGATTTGTATTACATTTACAGCCATTGGATGTACTTCATTATGCTCTAATTGTGATTTAGCTTAGAAATAGCAGCTGATCGTTATGAACTTAGCAGTTAGCACTGCTGCCTAATTTTGCTACTTTATTGGCTCCTTGAGCCCTCCTCCTCCAATTTCCTTGGTCGAAGCATGCTTTCTTTCCTTTCAATTGTACCTCCTCAAGTTTCGACCATAGATTAACCTAGGGATCAAGCAGAAGATGGATTTCATATGCTGTTTGTTGGATATTTCCAATTACAGTCGCTCCTTTTTTTGCTCAAAGAAAGAAAATATGGGCCCATTGCTCTATGCTTGTCATGCGCATTCCTCCATCTGGAATGATTCCTTTTCTCTTTTTTAAAATAATTTCTTGCATTTTTATACCTGAATATTAGCGCTTTAGGGTTTTCCTCTTATTAATTTGTTATAAATCAAACAATTTGGAGTTTTTGTATAAGCAAACAGCGGTTTGGTTTTCTAATCTGCTTGGGGATTTTTCTTGATACAAAAGAATGTAAATTTTAATGACAGTAATTCTCTCTATTGTGAGGCACTTCTTCACTCCTAGTATTTTTCCTATATTCCTTTGTTTTGCAAATAAATTAATTAACTAGATCAGTTCATATTGGTTTCAAAAGGAACACAAAGTATAAACTGCTTTCAGTTGTCACCAATATCATTTGCAAATTATGAATTTTTAGCTTTAAACTGATAATCATTCAGCGTCTGTTTGTTGGACTGAAAACATTTTCTCGAAAACGTTTTCCTGATTTTTCACTGTTTGGACGCAATCTAATTTGAGAAAATAATTTCTGATGAAAAATAACTTTCACCGAGAGAAGGAAAATTTCTTCCTTACCTATTATTTCGAAGTTATTTTCCCTTCTTAATCACGGCCTCTTCTTTTCACCGCCCATTGAAGACCATCGGCAAACCACCTTCTTGGCCTGCGGCATTTCCAGCTCCGGCGAAGACCCACTTCTTTTTAAAAATATCTGTCTCCATCTCCAGCTCCCGCGGCATCCAAACGTAGGCTACTCTTGTAATTAGGTCATTATCTTTTTAAAAATCAGCTATATTATCATCTACTCTTTCACGGCATCTCCATCTCCAGCTCCTGCTCCGGCGGCATCCAGAGGTAGGCTACTCTTTTAATTAGGTCATTGTCTTTTTAAAAATCAGCTTAATTATCATCTCTCTCTCTCTCTCTCTCTCTATTTTTTTTCCTTTTAAAAGCAGCCAATATTAACGGCTTTTCCCCCTGTGGCAGCGACATCTCATCCCCATTCCTGCAACAGCATCTCCAACAAGGGCGAAGACTCCTTAAGCATTTCCAGAGGTATGATCGTCTCTTATTAGTTTTTTCCCTCCCTTTTCTTTTGAAAAATTGTCCACAATTACTGGTGTAGATTCTTGAAGTTGGATTGGATGAATTTTTGTGGGTTGCTTTTGTTTTAGTTTGATAAAAATTCTTGTACCACTTTAAATTATACGAAATTTTGTATAAGCTGCCAAGTTTTTTTGTTACAGAGAAAGTGATGAATTCCTATTTCACAATCTTGCCAAACGCTGCGGGTGGTTGGAAAATGCCCCTCCAGCATAAGTCTTAATTTTAAAGGTTGATTTAGCAATTTTAGAAGGATTAACTGTTGACTATGAATATTTGAAGTTTGAGGCCACTGATTAAAAAGACGTTTGGTCAAGCTGTCAACACAGAGTGGTGATTATTTTATCACTCGTACATGCATTTGCTGGCCACAATTAGCACAAAGACATTTAGAAAAACCTTAAGGGATAATTTTAGAAGCCTTCGTAAACATTTTCGTTGCATGTTTGTGGGTGTAAATCAGAAAAATGTCGGTGCTATGCTTTAGTGAAATACTTTTCATGGCAAGCAGCAAATCTGTCAACCGGAACTGACTCTTTCCAATCTCTCAGCTTCTTTCTTGCTCTTCGCCTTCTTCGCATACTCTTAGACGACAAACTTGGCTTGTTTCTGATCAACGTTCACAAATAACTTGTACTTGGCCTTTTCTGATCAACAACTTTGCTAGTAGATTATGGTCTTGTTTCTGTTCAATTACTTTGTTCATTTCACTTTTTTCTGATACCTGTAGATGTGATCAGTGTACATTTGAGCTGTCATATTTAATGATTGAAGCATTGCCTCCCCTTGTTTGTTGAACACAGAAAGATAATTTGTCTATGGTAAAGATAAGACAGATGGGGGTGGGGCTGCACTTGTGTTAGCAGTAATTAAAATGATGGAGATGGCCAGATGGCCATGCAACCATCTTTTCTTTTACATATGATGTCTCTTTCTTTCTCACGGGTATGGTAATATTGTCCATTAACGTCCCAACTGCATTCATCACTTTATATAATGCTTCAACCGCTCCATTGGATTTAACTTTAATAGAACCCTATGATTAGCTAGCTATCTTTTTTTTTACCCATTTTTTTCCTTGTTCATGATCAAGAATAGGAATTCATCAAGAAAAGTATCAAAAAATGCACTAGTTTTGTTTTCTTTTGATGAGAGAGGGAACTCAATATGTGTAGCAGTACTGTTTCTGATCAAATAAATAAAAGCAAGTGGAAAAATCAAGAATTATTGCCTGCTTTACACCCAGGTTCACATGCACACATGCACAGATTACTCTAATGATTTCCTTTATCTATGACAATGGAAAAGTCAGCCACTGGTGAAATTTTGTCTCGGTTTGACTATAGATTAGGACATTTGGGTAGCATAAATTTGTTCAAAGTAAGAATCTTGCTAGAGAACTCCAAAGTACTTTTCATATCTCTTAATTCACACACTTGTGCAGATGATGTTATGGATTTAGACATCAATCCTAGTCAGATGTAATTTTGATGACAGAGGGAACTCAATATGTGTGGCTAAACTCAGCAAGATGCACCTGTAATAGTTCAGAACTGATAATGTGTATGATGTCTCACAAACTATACACGTACAAAGTACATATTAATTTGTGCTAATTTATTATCTAGTATTAGTTTCAGAGTATATTATCATGTGTATGATGTTCAAGGTGCATGCTGGGATAGTGATGAAAATTGAGAAACCCCTCCTACTTCGTCAACATTAGTTGGTCTCACAGCCCTGACTAAAGCTCTTCTCCTCAATATTACCATTAGCCTTTTCCACTGCAGAATTTCCATATGAAAACTTCCTATACCGGCATACATTAAGTTGTTTGAGCAACAACAGTAGTTGTTTGGTACTAACTAGTTTCGGGATACTTTGAATAACAACATTAGTAGTTTGGTACATAAACATTGCATGCTTGGTACATACACAAGAGGGGAATTAACAGCACTAACATTGTTCTCCTCCCCCCTCCCTCTCCCTCCCCTTCCCCCTCCCCCTCCCCCTCCCCCTCTTGGGTTGATGAACATTGCATGCTGTCTTGGGTACTAACTATTACATTCTTCCATTGTTAACTAGCCACTGAATAACAAAACTTGTTTTATGTAAATGCTTCCATTGTAAATGCGTCCATTGTTTAAGCAATGAGTGGAAGGCTGAAATGCATTGTCAATATATGTAAAGTAGTATTTTCTTTTCCACATTTTCTTGGAAACATTCTTGGAGAAAACTGGAAGTATTAACTGCCTTCCTCTTTTTGATCTTTTGCATCTGCAGACAAATGCAACCTGAATTTTGGATATGCTTTCAAGTGTATAAGTAGTTTTCTCACGATCTTTTTGTTATATTGTTGATTGAAATTTCTGGTTTATGATTATGCAGCAAAATCCAGGTCATGACAAGTATATTCACAATAAAATCGAATTGTATGATGAAATGGCTGTTGTGGTTGGAAAAGATCTGGCCACCAGGTCTTTTGCAAAATCATTTGTCAATGTGAATTTGGAAACTCCATTTGTTCCTAAGACAAGTGTAGAGACAAGTGAAGAGACGAGTGTGCAAAAGGATGTGACTAGTGCAAGATCCTCAGAAGTGAGAGCAATATCGTCGGGAACAAAACAACATCGTAAAAGAAATTGCAGCAATGAAGATATGGAAAAGATGTCTCAACAACTTGGAGAAGTGGCAGCTGCTTTGAACAAAATTAGTGCAAACAAGCTTGATATCAGCCAACTACATGATGAGATTATGAAGATAGAAGGTTATAGCGGAGAATTTCTGTACTTGGTATTCGATCATTTGGTGCAAAATGAGAAGCTGGGAAAAGCATTTATGGCGAAGAGTCAAAGACTTCGTTTGATTTCTCTCGAGAGGTTCAAGAAATATTGGGGTGAATGAAGTACTTATTATGTGATGGCAGCAAGAAAGTAACAGAAACTGTATTATAAGCAAGCATCATATTCTTGGAAAGTCTCTTCAACTGCATAGTGTTTTTTATTGTCATTATCTTTTGTATTTATAGGAAAACCACTTGCCTTGTTTTGGAAGTACTAGAATTCCAGAATTCTCTGCTTAAAGTAATATACCAATTCCTTTGCACCCGTTTTTGTTATGAAGTAGTGAGATTAACAGCCTAGTAGCCATTTTAAGATTGTTAAACTGCTTTACAGTTGTTCTGGCAAAATTCCATTGCTCTTGAAGTGGTGCGATGGTCATCAGCCAGCAAGTTTAGAGATGATGATTGCAAAATTTCTTTGCAGTGCTGTAGAGTGTGTTTTTTCGTTGATATTAGCCTGTGCCCTGATCTGTTGGAGGTTTATGTCATTTTTCTTTAATAATCTGATATATGTTTCTTTTGGATAATATGACCGGCGGTTTCCATTTGGCTAAAACATTTGGTTGAAATATCTTTATTCATTGAAATTCTAAGTTTCTGGTAGTTGCAGGGGTTCATTAGCATTGAGGTTCTTAACTTAAAAGAATAATTGTTAAAAATGAAGGTCAAAAGCCAATTCATTAGTGTCATTAATAATTCCATTTAAGAATTTATGGTGTAATTTGAATAAATATCTTATAAAATTGATAATATGATTATAATGGATAGAAAATAAAAATAACTTGTAATGAGATGAATGTTTTGAGAACAGAAAAACATTTACAACATATCAACAAACACTAGAAAAGGAAGTTAGAAAATATTTTCACTCACAAACCAAATAGCGGAAAATTATGAAAAAAGGAATTTGAAAAATATTTTCACTAAACAACTAAACACTAGAAAATTATGGAGAAGGAAGTGATTTTCCAGAAAAATGACTTAAACGGAAAACACTAGGGAAAATATTTTCAGTCCAACGAAACGGACCCTCAGCCTCTTACTTGCTAACCTCAGTTTCAACAACAATATTAGCTAAAAAGGTATAAGAAGATTGACAAATAATGGCATTGCCAGCATCCTAGTGTACATCTTGAAACTCGTTTAATAAGCTCAAGAAGTTGATCAATAACGTTTGTCACATAATTATGGAAAAAGAAGAAAAGAATCGAAAAAGATAATTTTTGCAGTATATGTGATTTTGGGATTTTTAGGTGATAATCATGATTTTGGAATTAATATTTACCTACAATTCAAAACCTTGACGTGGTTATTCAAGTTTATATCTTACTACAAAAATGAAGCTCAAAATTTCTTCCACGATCAAGGTTATCCCTTGCTTTTCTCGAATTAACTAAGCAATATTATTCCATTAATTATACAATTTATATATGCTACAGCATTTTTTCCCCTTGTTTTGGCTAAACAAAAAGGATTGATGGTCACAAAAGCGTGATACAACTAATGGCTGTTCTTGAGTAGTGTCCACGTCTTTGAGCTCCTAAATAGCTGATTATTTTTCTAAATACTAGGGAGGGACAGCGCGCGGGAATTTGACGCTTGTGATTCAAGATAATTATTAATTATTCTTTAATATTTTGTAGTATAGGAACTGAAGTATGATGATTTTATCATGTGATTTTAATAAAAAAATCATAAGTTACATAGTGAGTCAATAAAATAATGTGCAATGAAACATCCTTATCGTTATACTATGTAAGAATCCTTTGTGATCAAAAGTTATGTTTGAATTTCAATTACAAAGATAAGGGTAGTTTGAAAATGTAAGAATGTTTAAAGTGCAATTGAAAATGATCCAAAAGTCTCTTCTAAAACTTATCCAAGATGATAAAACATTTTAAAGTATCAATTGGATCCCTTATCTCTCGAATCTATATATGTTCGTGAAAGATCCCTTAAGCAATGCTTCTGATTTCTCCCTCGACTTAAGCTCAACCTGAATTATCAAGTCAAGTTTATCCATCAATCACTTTGTGTCCAATCTAATCTAAAATAATTTTATTTTAGACTAACTATTTATATAATTTGGTGGGCATAATACGACTTAATCACATGTTTCTTACCGAGATAATAATGCCCAAAAATGATAGATAGATAAGAAACTTAAGTGGTCTTTTTCAAAGTTTTATAGAAACTATTCAGATTTGGTGTTTTTGCTAGTGGCATTTCTTTATAATCTCATAAATAAGTTCAAATCTGCATAATTGTTAAAGATTTGAATTGAAACTATCTTGATTATAAAAAATTGGTGGAAATAATATTTTCTAAATTTAAAATTGTAGAAAATGGTAACTAAAATCAGAAGAAATTCCTCATATGAATTCGAATTGCAAACTATAGGTAGAAACTGCTTAATGATATTTTCCAATGTTTACTTGTATGAGTATCCAATATAGCAGCTCTACTTAATTGACTCGTTTGAACTATGGATAACACTTGCTTCAATCAAATCAAGAAACATTATTTATCATTGTACAGTATACAATTATGAGTAAATGAATTAATACAATGCAATCAAAATGGTGCTATAGCTAAAGCATTTAAACTCATCAAGTTCCACTACAAATTCTTTTAGATAGCATAAAAAGTAAATTTTTTGTATTTGAAACTATATAAACAGTAGAATACAAGAACGAGATCATAACATGGAAAGCAAATAGAGTGCAAATGACATCTTAGTACTATGTAGCATGATTAATTTTCTTTTTTAGTTTCAATGAAGTACAAAATTCTAAGTTAATAAAATTCTCAATTTTGAGTGATATATAGTATGTGATGGTATGTGTAAGTGGTGAAGCACGACATACGAGAAAGTCTTTTTTTTTTTGGTAAAATAAAGATGCATTAAAATAAAGTCAAAGTCTATAGAGTAATAGTTAAAGTATAGTCATCCGTGTGTTGATGACACCTTTTAAGTCTTGCAAAAGTAAGGGAAGGACAAAATCAGGATAGGATTAAAAAAAGGTGGAGTCTTCGTTGCTGCTTCTTCCCCAGTTCGCTAGTATGTCTGCATATTTGTTTGCTTTGCGGTCGTTATGGTAAAAACATAACTGCTTGAATGTAATCAACAGATCCCTGGATTCAAGAACAATAGGAGAAAGTTCATGAGAAATAAGGTTATTTGACTTAAATAAAGAGATAATACCTTGGCCGAGGAGGAGAAGATGATAAAATTGCTTTTCTGATTATTTTAGAAAGTGACAACATTACCTCAAATCAGAGACAGAATCTCTAGGATCTACTAAGGAATACAATACAATTAAGTATCAAAAAGCAAACTATATGGAGTTCTTGAATAAACCAATCATTAGACAAAAAAAAACTATATTCGAAGAAGACAAACCCAAAGAACTCACCTCAATTTAAAGGAAAAGCTACGCCTTCCACCAAATATTTAATAGCCATAATAAAACCAAAGGGATGAAACCGAAAAAGAAGAAAGGGTATCGGCTAAACATGGGGGCATAAATATGATAATGATTGTTCAGATAATAATTAAGTTAATTAATTGTAATTAAAATCCAATTATGTAAACATCCAATTAATTCCTTAATGGATGAGAAAGGTTTCAGGAAATTGGAAGGCTTGGATGTTAGTATAATAAATGATTAAAAGGGCTTTTATGTAATTTTATCAAAGCACAAGCTTAATTCAGTTGTACTTAATACTCAACTTGGCACCAAACATTGTAACATACCAAACCTGCCCCTAACCTTAAATGTCTGAAAGGTTATATAAGTAATTATAGCCAAATTAAAGCTACAATGACTTGTACTCAATACTCCAATTACACTTCAAATACTCTCACATTCCCAAAATAGTCCCACCCTTGCGGTTGAAATCTAAAAACTGTCTTTGTCCTAAACTCGTTCTTATATAGTATAAGGATGTATTTGGCTTCATGTTGTGGTGGAGCAAAGAATTTTGTTCTGTGAAGCAATTTTCTTAATCTTAAATTTTATTAATTTTAAATTAGGATTTCCTGAATTTCCACCTAACTTGCAGTTGATATTTCTTTCCCTTTTGCTTTCCTTTCTGTTTTATCTTTCTACTAATGTTTCTTTTCCTTCTATCTTTTGCTGCTTGGATAATATCTACTTTATCCTAAGCACAAGGGCTCACAGTCTTGCTCTCTCCAACTTGCTCCTACTATTGCCAAGTATGTTTTCTGGTTCAATCTATCCTTAGTGCATTTTTTAAAAGTTAAAAATAGTTTGATCTTAATGTCACATGTAGCAGGTTTTGAATTCTACATTTTTGAACTATTTAGTTAGCGATAACGTGTGCTTACTTGAAGGCTTTTATGTTTTGTATTATCCATGCTCATTTGGTGCTTGAAGGTTTAGTTAGCCATGCATGAGTTCAGTTTTGCTTTGTTTTATAGTTGTTCCATCCTTATCATTTATCTTTTGCGGTTTGGATGAGATATATAAGAATCATCAAATCTAAGACAGCTACAAGTTGTTGACTTAGCAATTCTGTCATCTTTAACTTAATAGATTAGTATATTCCTTTTCTTATTAATTTCTCATGAATGAGAAGCATGATAGTGCTATTCAATACATGGACAAAGGTAGTTATAGAAAGCAAGCTATCAAAAGATGGAAACAAAAACGATTAGATAGCATACTGCATTTTCATGTTGCAGGAACTTCAAATGTGATCAATTTACCTCATTTTATGCCCGTGAACACAAATAATAGTTAACTATCTATGAGAGTTTCGCTCCCATTTCTAGAATATAAAATTTCTAGCATAAGCAATAATAGGGGACATAGAGTTATGAGATATAGAGATGAAAAATCTCAGAGAAGCGAACTGCTTCGACCCATGCCTTTGACAACACATCAGCCTTCTATTCTTAGACCTCACAATCTTCCTTCGACGCTGCCTATGAATTCCAATGATATGTGGACATCAATGGATGCATCATTTGCATGCGTAGGAATTGAGCCTTCCAATTTGATAGCTTGTGAGAATGAGCGCATTGTTAGATTAGAAAGCCGAAATCCCAGATTAATTGTCTACATGAAGGTTAGCACATAGAAGTTGAAAATGCTAATCCTTGCAGACTTTGAACTCTATTTAGGCTGTTATTCCTCAGCCTATGAGCTTATTTAATTTCCCATTTGCAAGCTTAAATGTTGTGCATTCATTTGTTAATGCACCATTAGAGTTCTCGATAGCAAAAAAATTTGCTATGGCAGATAACAAGA